ACATGATAGATAACTTTGTACCACCTGCCTCGTCTTCTTCGCTGAGGATCTCCCTTCGCGTCATGGCCAAAAATGAAGCTCTGTATGCTTTCGTCTATGTGTTCGTACAGTGCGCGGTTATGATGGTGTCACCGGATACCTTGTGTTTTTGCGGCAGTGGGTCAACGCAAACTGACATGTTTTTACAGCGAATGGCTTTGACGGTTTTGCGGCGTTCTTTGTCTGTTTAATTGTGTGACACGAGTACGTGCTTTCAAATCCAGCGGTGGGCAATGGTAGCCAGAAATTCAAACGAAAGCTGACAAACAAACACGTGAAAGGGCACACCAACACAGGAGCCGGGCAGGGAACACATTGTCCAGGACTGAAAACACCCAAACCTGGGAACCAAAAACACCAACACAGGAGCTGGGCAAGGAAAACACCAATCCAGGAACTGAAAACACACAGACCTAGGGGGAAGAACTCCGGGAAGGGAAAACACCAAGAGTGGGAACCAAAAAAACCAATACAGAAGGCGGGAAGGAAAAACACCAATCCAGGAACTGGAAACACCAAGACCTGGGAACCAGAAACACCACGGGAACCGAAAAAACAATCTGGGAAAAGGAAACACCACGGGAAGGGAAAACACCAATTTGGGAACTGAAAACACCCAACCCGTGTCTCGATCGCAGTTCGTTCGACCAGCGGCGCCCGGAGTTAGTCGTTGGAGTGGTTCGCCATAGGAATCAGCCGCGGTGGCTACGGCCTTTTGAATCAGCCGGAGCTCCTGGGAGAGTCTGAACATGCTCCATGTCTCCAAGCCGACTGTACATGCTCTCCAGCGCCGGGAGGAAACAAGGTCTTGGGGCCCACCACAGCCGCAACGGCCACTGCTGCAGTGACCTTGAAAGGTGTACATGCTCTCCAGCGCCGGGAGGAAACAAGGTCTGGGGCCCACCACCGCTGCAACGGCCACTGCTGCGGTGACCTTGAAAGGTGTACATGCTCTCCAGCGCCGGGAGGAAACAAGGTCTGGGGCGCACCCCTGAGCATCGAATATTGATTACAATCAATAAACTTCATGGTTTTTAGATTGATTTTGATAAGTTTGATATGAATTGATTTTTTCAAAAGTTCTCATTGAAAAGTTTGATCAGAAATTTGAAAATTATATTGATTTGCCTTTTGAAAAAGGTGGGGTCAGAATCAATATCTGGTATTGATTTTTTTGCTTATATTGTTTTTTTTGATTTTGCTGATTTGCAGGTTTTTGTGGCTCAAAACACCAAGGGCCAAGCACTGATACCGATAGAAAGATACACAGTACAATACAACTTCCACCTTGAAAAAGGCTCGCCTAGAGACCTTGAAAAAGGTCTCTGTGAAAAAAGACTTGGAAAAAGTCACCTTGAAAAAGGTCTCTTGAAAAAGATACCTTTTCAAAAGCAATGTCTGGCAGAGGAGGTGCCAGGCACCGCCCCAAGCCATACATTGAGACAGGCTTGCTTCACAAAGTGCTGAGCAAGCATGAAGACCTGTGGGTAGATATGAAAGGGTATGAGCTACTCAGCAGAAATTCTGCAGCTGAATGCAGGGCACTGTATAATCTCCTTCCACTGGTGGGGGATTTGCTGGACTTGGAGCCCAGCTGTGAGATCCACCCCCAACCCCTCAGGGCATGTCTGACAAAAATGATCACAGAGAAGCCTGAACTGAACAACAGCAAGTTCAAAGGCTCTGTGTATGTCAACCTGAGGGCTGAGAGAATTGGAGTTCTCCTTTCCCACGTAAGGAGATTGTCCAGGGGTGGTGGGGTGCAAGCATGTGTTTCCAACCTCACAGGGTTGGAATACAGCTTGCTCCAGGACACCTTGAAAAAGGTTGTCACACTGCCCACAGAAGCCCTCAGCACTCTCTTGAAAAAGGAAAAGCCCAGCAAGGGGTCCTTGAAAAAGGATGGTGGTGGAAGCCCTTTGAAAAAAGGTGAAGGTGCAATAGTTCTCTTGAAAAAGGAAACTATGCCCAAGAAGCGGAAGAGGGCACCCAGCGAGGTGTCAGTTGATTCCAAGGGCTGGCCCATGGAGTTGGCAACCCCAAAGAAAATGGCAGCCTCACCACCCAAATTGTGGAAAAGGGGCAGGGTGGGGCATCAAAGCGCCAAAGCAGAGGTGGCTTCTGAGACAGGGCATTCTGAGCTGCAGGAGGCCATGTGCTTGAGGCAGAAACCTGCAGCTGCCTTGAAAAAGGCTCCCTGTGCATCACCCAGCACCTTGAAAAAGGTGAAGGCCTTGAAAAAGGACAGTGCCTTGAAACATGGCAGGAAACCATGGGCCAAGATCACCAAGACCACTGCAAGCAAGCCTGAAAGGTGTTATCTTATTGGTGCCCATGAGCCAGGTGAGAAATTGAGGCTCATTGTTGAAGTGAGCAAGAAAAGAAGCCTTCAGTACATCTATATCATTGACATGATCAAAGAGGCTTTGCACAAGAAGCACCTCACCAAGGAAGAAGCCTTGGACATGAGGGACGATTTGTGCTGCCAATTCCCTTGAAAAAGGTGTTTTGACATGTCAGCCACCCATGTCCTTGAAAAAGGATGTGGTATTCAAGGTAGACTGAGGAAGGCACAAGCCCCTTGAAAAAGGGTGGATTGAAATGTCTCACTCCTTGAAAAAGGATTGTGTATTTCATGTCCTTCAAATGAAGGGCTAGTTTTTGGACAGCTCAGCCTGCTAACACAGCAGGTAAGCATAAAAAGATTTTCTGCTGCTGCTGACTGTTTCTGTTGTTGTCCACCTGTGTTTTTGTTGGTTGTCAGCTGCTTGTTTGCTTCTGCAGCTGAAGTGGCTCAAACTTGCTGCATGCATGCACACCACACACCGCACACAACACACAGCAACCTACACCACACATGCACACCAACTGCAGCACAGAAACCACTGCGTGCACACCACAAGCAACACACTAGTTGCCAACCTAGAGTGTTAGGACACAGCAAACACCACAGAACCTTTGTGTAGGTTAGTTTGCCATAGTGAGCTTGAAAAAGCCAGATTTCTCAATTTGGCTTGAGAAAGCCCTGCAGTCCCTTGAGAAAGGGCCGGCAGCAAAAGCAGTGGTCTGCACTGCAGAAGGCTGACCCTCCTGCCACCTCCCAAGAGGCTCTGACTGCCCACTTGGAAGCCTTGAAAAAGGCGGTCCCCAGTGCTGAGAAGCAACTGGAAGATCTTGCCAAGAAGGAGGACAGCAAGCCCTTGAAAAAGGGAAAGTTTGGGCCCAGGTCCAACTCCAAACCTGTCCTGGTGCCAGCAGCAACCTTGAAAAAGGAAGCTGACCTGAAGGCTCAGCTGGAAGGCTTGAAGGAGGCCCTGTCCTTGAAAAAGGATGCCTCCAGCAGCCCTGGCTCTGCTGACCCCTTGAAAAAGGAGTCAGAGTCAACACCAAGGTCCTTGAAAAAGGAAGCTGCAAGGCCTGCAGTTGTGGTGGACTGGCACAACACCATTGAGGTGGATGACCAGGTCCACCCAGACAACTTGCAGGCCTTGCACACCTTGGCTTGCTTGGTGGATGTCCACATCCTCAGCTATGTGGCCACCAAGCCAAGGGCACATGCCTTCTACAAGCAAGTCAAAGAACTTGTGCCCACTGACACCTTGAAAAAGGTGAAGTCCACAATGGTGGTGTGGACAAAGTGTGGTGAGGAAGGCAAGACTGACTGGGCCTGCTGGCTGGGGGCTGAAGCACTGTTTGATGATCAGCCAGACATCATCAGTGAAGCCCATGACTGGGGGTTGGTGACTTTCCCCATCCAGGGGAACAAGCACCATGAGCGCTCCAGCTACACCACCTTTGCTGAGGCATGTGATGTCTACTTGAAAAAATTTGACATGACTGCAGGTGGTGGTGCTTCCAGCTCCTTGAAAAAGGATGCCTCCCAGAAGTCCTTGAAAAAGGATAGCTCCTGGAAGATAGTGGGCCATGGGAGGTATAGGAAGCAAAAGTGAGTGCGCCCCAGGGCCTTGAAAAAGGCTGCCAGCAGCATGGCCTTGAAAAAGGCCTTGCCAGCCAAAAGTCCTTGAGAAAGGACCTGCATGCATTAGCTGCAGTGCCTCTCAGACACTGCTTTTGGCACTTGTACAGTTTGAGCAGCTGTGCTGGCACCCCTCTTGTGAAATAAACACTCAGCTACAGTAGTGAAAAAGGGAATCACATGTTGGTTTAAATGTGTTTGTGTTGATGTATTTGGTTTTGTTGGTTTTGAGGGGTGGCCAGCCAAGCTACTGGACAGCTGAACTGGCCGAAAAGGCTGGTGGTGAATGAACAAGAAAAGAAATAAATATATAAAATAACAATAAATAAATATATATATATATATTTAAATAAAATAACTAACTATTTGGAGTTATACATATATATATATATATGTTTGTGTTTTCAATTATACTAGAAAAGTTTAACATTTAAAACTATAGTTATCTAAAATTTCAATACAATATTACTACTATTTTGTGCATATTAAATCAATTCTACTAATCTAAAACATGTCGGCAGAGTACCACATACATTTTAAATTTGTTATTCAACTATTCTATTTACATTTGTACAAATAAACACATAACTTTGCAATTTTTAGTTGACCAAAAGTATAATTCAAGTGTTGTTCATGCATTCAATTCAGAATTTCCCACTTATTTGCCAACAATCACCCTTGAAAAATGTACAGAAACAAATTTTTAGACACTTTTGACATTTTTAGACATGTTTATACTAATTTCTATTTTTGGTAAAAAAAAGGTACAAAAATCCTTTGTTTTTCTATTATTTTGTCAAAAGACCTTTTTTGAAAAAAGTAGGAAAATGAAAAGTGATCAAAAGTGATCAAAAGTGATCAGTTGATCACTTTTGATCACTTTTCCTTTTTTAATTTTTCTAAAACTCTGTTTCATAAAATATATTTGTGCTCTGCAG